CGCATCGGCGAACCTACACGGATGAGACGTTGAGGGAACGAAGTCCTTAGCCACTAACGCCCTAGTGACCAGCTTCAAAAACGGCAAAATCAGTGCAGGGCAAGTGCCAACTCAAGGGGAAGGACTCCAGTATATCTGGTTGTAGGGTGTCATCTGTATATCGGAAGAAACTAACTAAAATCGATAGAAAGGTAATGTGAACGCTTGTGAGCCGATGTACGAATTTGAAGCAAATTATTCAACTAGCTTGTTAAGAAAGTAATGTGACTAACAATTTTCAGATATGTTACGCATTTCTTCCGGCCGAAGGAAATGTCGTAGGTGTGCTTCCATGAGTTCCGGGAAATGTTTGGTAATAATCGTTTCCTGTTTTCAGCCTACAACTGTGAGAAAAACGTTCCTGTTGAAATTCAAGATTTGCTGATCGGGCTTATAAATAAGAGGCGAGACAAAGAGAACAACGATTATGCGCTGTCCAACGGAGGTCACCCGCTACTAATGGAGAAAATAATGGTAAGTAGTTTAAAGTTAAGACAATCCTAACAAATCCTCGCTTTCAGTTAGCTCAAATATACATATGTTTCTGATCTCAGATCAAAACAGTATAATAGTACGCCTGAGCCATGGATTGAACTAATTGTAAGAGAAGAATTGTTGTGTCTAACGAAATTAGGCATTCCCTGAAGAAGTGTCTAGGAAGTCAGGGTGAGTTTTGATAGGTCTGATGGTGAGTGGGGCGTGCGTAAAAATCGCACATAGGAGACGGTCAATATTCACACCAAATTGGCAGGTCGGGAAAGGTAGATTTCTTACGGTGAGCGGAGCGTTTTACCCAACAAGAAAACACTCGCTTATAAGCACAGGGCAGAAAAATTGATGTTAAATAAGAATGTCACGGTTTTCAAAGCTAGCTAACATGAAACAAGGAAGGAAGGTCAGTTGCTACTGGTGGGAGTGGGAGCACACGAGGCGGCCCCGCAAAAACCGAAAAATGTTGATCCAGACTAAACAGGTAAATGTCCATCGGTTAATAATTATTGAGGAGCCACGCAAAATAAGCTGGTATACCCGACAAATAGCAAATCCACTGACTCGTTTGTTCGTTGTATTAAAGAATTGATTGTTGGTCACTTTTAGGGGTTCGACTGCTATCTTGCAGAAGAAGCTTTTACACATTCCACTCATGAAAACGTCTTACATGACGGTTTCCATTCGCTTGTACCGAGGTGTCTCTTTTATAACTTTTTTATTACAAAAAAAGATAGTTTGGAAGGAAATCGTTGGCGCACTGGCTACTGATAATTTCGACAGGTGCTTTTCAGGCATATTGGCAGAACTTCTCGAGGAAACGTTGAATGACGCAGTTAGAAATGTCGACAAACGACTGGTGGGTGGAGTGGTTTGCTAGTGATGATGAGAGCAGCACTACACATGAGGGGAGGGCAAAAAAAAAGAGTCGCTCTGCCCAGCCCCCCCGACCCCCCGGAGAACGCGCGATATCATCGAACTATTCAGTAGGCGCAATAGATGCCGCTGACTATATGAGAGTTATACCTTACATGTCCCCGCTCCCATACATGTAAATCAGATCCACTTCAGCTGCTTTAATCATCTCCAGCGCTCCAGAATATGACGTCATCTGTCATCACACGTCGAGCTCAAGGAGGCCTACCATAATCGCTCCATTACTCTGAAGCTGCTACAATTCTCCAATCGGGTAACTGGTGAATGGCTTCTTAGAGACACTAGCTCTGACTATGCAACATGGCTTTTGACGTTGTAATCGTCTATGGTTTCTCGACGACCATCGTTGAGCTCGTACCGCGAACCATGTTTCCGTGGGAAAATCTTCTGATGTCGTCGGTGTAGAAAGCCCCTATGTAATTTTTTGATAGAATAGAATGTGCTCTTCAATATGCAATTGAGCTCATTCGGTTTGGTTTGGCAAAGTGTAATTAATTCTGTTTTGAATGTGAGTGAGAGTGACTCTTCCCCTCCCCCCCCCTGTATATTATCCTCCTCACAGTTTATTTTTTTCGTAACTTTAGATTTGGTTTCTCGTCTATCGAGCAAGCAAAGTGTGGATGCAGTATCGACCTGATCACTTCCAAGGAGAATGGAGAACACTGGCTGCTCTTGAAATGCAGATTCAACACGGTGTAAGTGTTCTCATCATGTTCGCCTGTTGATACGTATGCCTTGTCCGACTTTTCAGCAAATGGGAGACCACGTCGATCTCCACGTAACTGAGTGACCTCTGATGCGTATTCCGAAAAAAGCACCATCAGCCTACACATTTTTTACAACAATCATATTTTTTAACAAATTTTTTTACAACTTGCCAAGCGCAATAAATTGCTTCATGACGTTCAATGGCTCACTCAACACTCAAAATTGTTGCACTAACTCCAAGCTCCTTACAGTGTCCTGGTACAGTGTCCAGTGATCCTTGGCGTTACACCACCGTGAAGGATAATTTTATGGACATCCACCAACGAAAAATACAGAAGAAACCCAACACACAATTACTTCTCCTTCTACACAGCAAACTGATGAAAGTGCATCTTTTTGCATCGCATCTGTCTCTATTCTCTTATCGCCTGTTCTTTTGCAGCTTTTTCGCACCAGTATTTGTTGAATATAACTTCAGGGCGGAAGTGGTGTAGTGGCAAGTGGCACGCTTACCACGCGAGCGGTCCGGGGATCAAATCCTGGGTCGTGAGTCGCCCGGGCCAACCAAGCCTTCCATCCCTCCGGGGTCGGTTAATTGGTACCAGACTTGAGGATAAAAACACTGACTTGTACATCGGCTGGCCCCCGCAAGTCATTGTATAGGCCACATCGCATTCAAACGCCACTGCGAATGTACAAATGGAAGTAATAAAGAAGAATATCGCGCAATCCCAAAAGAAATGAAATCGACGCAAATGTTTTTATTTTACCAGATTAGTCCCCCGTCAACCGCCGGGACCTTCCTTTCCTGCGCAAGCTTTCTATCCTCCGCTAATCTCTTCCTTCCTCCTGACACCCACACACCTGGAAGTGACGCGTATGCAATACAATGGTGTTTCATACAGTAGAAGGGACACAATCATATCCCTCTCTCCTGCCTCCAGCTGCCACTGCAGCACCATGTGGAATGAACGGAAGTGTGCTAAGCAGGTGTTTATATAGCCCTAAGAGTGTTATCACAACTATCCTGCTACAAAACATTGATATCTCAAATCCTGTAAGCTACCCGATTTGTTAGCGGTTTGTTTATCCCATGAGCTTCCTTCTCACTCACTTCATTTTGCGGACGGACACACATACATACACACACACACACTCACACACACACACATACAGATACACAAACCGACACACAAAGTTAGCGCTTTATATAATAGAAAGGATTCCTTATGAGTTACGTGCGATCCGCAAGCTGACGACTAACGTATACAAAGAGAATCGAGATGAATGAGTCAGGTTGAGAGCCTCCGAGATGATAGCATTTGAGTGGAACTGAATGTGCTCATGCCATTTTCCAGTTCGTGGAACTCCGATGAAGTGAACAGTCGAGAGCAACTCTACAGGGTGGTCCAAAATTATGAGGACCGCGTGCGCGCGCAGTCATATCCACTTTTTTCCGTATCGCTCCATTTTCATCTCGTTTTCTGTGCACTATGTGAGAGGGTACAATTGTCTTCTTCCTAATGAAACCAAATTTCATGAAGTTCTCAAAACTAGTGAAATAACTACTTCACTTTGAGTCAGTCCTCAAATTGAACTCACTAGGGGCTCTGGCACGTTACATCTAGCAGCAGTCTAACCTATCAGGGAAGCCCTTATGAGCAACAGTTCAACTCTTCAATAAGTTTGGAACCACCACAGATGGAAATTCGGGGACGAAAGTTACAGTTACCACCAGGATAATTATCAGATGCAGAAACTAGGTCTCCCTTGTCGACTTTCGTACACCCAAAATGAAAAAATTGATGTGAAAACCCAGCCAGACACTCTAAAGACTCCACATCTGTAGTGGATAGAAAGCCACACGAGTAGTCTACTTAGAACTTCTTACAGGACCGAGCACCCAAGAATAAAGCAAAAATTCTCAAAAAGCGATTTTTCGAGTTTGTTGCTTTCGAGAACTGTTACAATGGAACCTTCTACCTGTTAGCTCTAAAATTTCTGTATTACCATACCCGGATGCAAGCGCAAATAAATGCCCCACAAAGCTTTGATTCCCTGAAGAAGGCAGAGCAGAAGGCCTGGAAACATTTGGACACGCCTCAGTTGCGTGCCAGCGCACGCGCCATCCCCTTCATCTGAAGGCTCGTGTAACGGGGCAGTGGCAGATCTCAATTCTATTCTGGAATTACTTTGAGGTAAGAGTTACAAATACTTCCCTGAAGTTGGTTTGTTCCATCAAGCTACTATGCGTTTTTAAGCGACACAAGTGTCTTGGTCCTCATAATTTTGGACCACCCTGTATTTGGAGAGGGCGCGCTATTCCTCTAGAGCATAGTTTATGGATAAGGCGAAAGGTAAAGTAATCTTTCTCAGAAAAATTGAGACTATCTCACCCGCAATTCACTGTCTTGGACCCATCGTTCACGATAAGAACGAAAAAAAAAAAAAAAGCTGCTTCTGTTTCGGTGAAATTCGAAAAGCCTTTTGGCTTAGATCAAAGTTTGGTTTAGTTCTTATCGAATATGATATATGAAAAACCGAAAGGGCTGCGCACTGATAAGACATAGCGGACATCTGTCACGAATGTTGGCGACGGGAATGCTTCCACTTGGACTTGTTTGTTAACTACTGTTTTTGGCCGCAATTCACCTTGCGAATGGAGTTGTGAATAAAATTTGCGCCCCAGACGGGCGACGTCCCGACTGAGGCGAAAGTTTTGTTCGCAGTTCGGCATGCTGGTTTACTTCTTTAGGCAGCATGCATTGTAGTTCCCTAAGACATTAGCTCTGGATATGCAAATCGCTCATCCGTTAGCACTAAGACAAACATTTACAGTCCGAACCGTGTCCCTGTTTCAACTCTTTTGTTGTTTTCACATAGAAGACTAAGCTGAAGATTTTAGATATGTTCGGATGTGCTTCTCAAATTCATCGTTCAAACGTTCATGACATACTTCGTTGGTAAAAAACTAAGTTTTTGCGGACCATCAGACTTGTTGGAAACTATAAGCCTATGACTCAAAAATGCTCAATCTGCTCTAAAGGATCACTTCTTCAAAAAAAAAAGTCTCGTTGTTCCGTTTTTCCCCGCTGTAGTTTTTTAGGGCCATTCCCCTGATATGCGAGTTTTCAACCTCAAGCTCCCATAATTTCCTTCAAATTGGGTATATTGAGAAGCGCTAAAACACTTGAATTCTACAAGATCAGTGCTTTATAGCGTATAGCTAGATTCAACCAGAAGCTCTGGAAGGGAAATCCTTCTTTTGCTTGTTCAATTAGGACTCGAAAAATCAATACGTTTAATTTGCTGTTTTCTCCTCCATTTTGGCTTGGTCCAAATGCATCGAGGTCCTCTAAAGGGTTTGTTTGCTCGAGCTCACTAGAATATGAAGTGATTCAATGAGAGCTCCTGCTCTGAGATGCCCCGTTAAAATTGTCTGCGATTAGTGGTCACAAAGTTAAATTGAATTTGTGTCCTCCTTCGCCACTTTGCCAAGCCTTAATACCTTCAAATTTTGTGACTGGCCCTCTGGCTTACGAATCCCTCCCCGTTCCATTGGCCAGGTACGACTCCCTCGCTGCTCTTTGCGCAGCCGGCCTTTGACCATGCCCCCAAGCCACGCGATCCCTCGCATGGGCTAAACCGCGCTCAAATGCTCCTACGATTTCGAATGAGAGTACAATGCGTGGCGCATCTCAGGAGAGATTGGTCCACTCGAATGCCTTACCTTTCATGCCTTGTTCCTGTTATTCTCGCCGAACTCTCCAGTGGGGCGCAGTAGTTTTATCTTGAAAACTGGTCAACCTTTGTGTTGGGAAAAGGGGGTCACCGTTACTCTCTTCCGTCCTTCATGTAATGATCCCAGTGGTATCTTCAGAGTGGCCTCGGCAGCTCCATCTCCAGTCTATCTACCATTTCCGAAACGTCTGGCTGATCGAGAAGACGGAGGTGTGGAATTAATAAAGCTACAAGTGTAGGTAAATAGTTGATGAAGCGGCAAAGTTGAGATTTCTTGTAGATAATCCTCAAGAAGGAGTATTGAAACCTGGGCATAAAGCACAATATGATTAACGTTACGACGATCTGCGTCCCTGCTTTACTTTCTACATACTTGTACAAGAATGAATGTCAGGAGAACTCAACCGGGGCCTGTTAGCGTAAGGAAGGCGTGCTTTGTGATTGTCGTTGCAGTTAATAAAAGTAAAGATGTATTTGAGATTGAATATTGTTAAAGTTCTTGACTTTCTCAATTTATTGGCAAGCTTTCAGCAATGATACCGTGTCCTCTGCAGAAAAAAATGAACCCTGTACATCTATGCATGCCAGAAATGAGGAAAGCGGAGAGGACCTGTTGGTGTCAGGCGCGACGCATAGTCGGTCGGACGACAGCAACGATCGTAACTGTCGCACAGCATTGGATGCGTATCGATCGTCGGACTTGCCTGAGTATTCGACGATTAGATGCAGTTAGACAGTCAGACAGTTGCGATCGTTGCTGTCGGACGACCGACTATGCGTGCGCCCAGTACGAGTTTTATGCGATTACCCATGGCTAGGCGTCGTCTTTGCTTGTAAATCTCGTTGCTGAAGCAAATAATGTTGCATTCTAGTGCCGCTTCCAATGTGTTCCTTGAGTTGTTTATTTTATTTGCGAAGAACCAAACAAGAAATGTAAAGACAATATGCTAAAGCTCCACGGGGACAATGAAAAAAAAGCTCAATCAGTTAACGAAAAATGAACCAAAAGTGTGAAGAAATAGCGCAGAAAGAAGCTTGGCTATCATGACGAAGTTTTTTGTTTATGGGAAATTCTGTTTAGTTAACTGCTATTTTCAGAAAGTCTAGCAGATATTAACACCTTGACGACAGCGCGGCAACTAGGTTTGCCGCGTTTTGCACGCCGCAATGGACATTGTGGCAACTATAGTTGCCACACCCTTTACATTCAGTTTTT